CACTTCTAATAAGATAATGGACCAAGGTACCATTAAGTAATAGACCCCAGCATAAAAAACGTATAAAATGTTGAGACTGGTATCAGTAAACTGTTCATTGACAGCATACAGTGATCATGCTGCAACATTAAAACCATGTGTATAATATTGCGCAAATACTTCTTGAGTTGCCAGAGCAGGTTCGACCTGTTAGATGTTAGAGCTCTGTGGGTGTGCTGAGAGTGTCTTGCACATGGAGGTGGGAAGCTTTGGGTTGGGCTGCTCTGAACTGGCTTTGATCACATTGAGATGTTTCTCAACCTACCCCCGAAAATTTTTAAGAGTCTTGATTTGGAGAGGTGTAAGTGTGCTTCATGGCTCAGTTAACAGTGACCTTAAATCTGTGCTGTCCACTAACCTTATCCAACGATCTCTTGTTTCTTAAGCACTTATTTCATAAATCCAGCTAGACAGACAGTGTAACATCTATGTCAGTTTTTAAAAGCAGGGCTCAGTGGTGTTTATTAGCCTTTATACAGTATGTGCAGCATTTCATGTCCCCTTTAAGGCTAACCACACATGGGAATCAGATGGGAACAAAGACCTTGCATACCTGCACCAACTCGGATCGTTGGTTCTCACTGGTATGAATTAGTCTGACTGCTTCATTGAAATTTTAAAAAATAAGACCAAAAAAACCCAAACCGTTTTATGACAAATGTTCTAATGAATATTCATATAGTACACACACAAAATGTAATGATCTCATGCACTTTCACCTGCAGCCCAGAGGAACACATACCAGCCTTTAGCCTCTACAAACAGTGATGGGAATTGTACACCCTGGTTTTTGGTGGTTGTCTGTGTGTATGTTTCTGTTCTGTGTCCTGTTTACTGTGTCTTTGTTTGTATATGTGTCTTTTTGGCCGCTGTTACAACCAAATTTCCCCTTGTGGTACAATTAAAGGATTATTCTATTCTATTCTATTCTATTCTATTCTATTCTATTCTATTCTAAACTTTAGCATAGCAAGTTGTTTTTGTATTATTATTATTTTTTGGAAATGCAATACTGAATTGGTTAAGCAACACTTCCAGTAAATATTGAAGTATTTTGACTACAATAGCTCAGCATGTGAGGTCCCTTGGCTCTATAATGAGCTGGTGTAATTAGTGATACAATTGAGAAGAAGTCTTTCATCGGCTCTGAATTGCTACACAAACTGAAAAAAAAGCCAGCTCAGTTTGAGTGTCAAGATTTGTGTGCACGTGTACAGTAATTGTCATGTAACAATGTTTGGCAGGCAGAGTATAGGACATGGGAACAAGACTGACTGGGGAGACAGAAAGGGAACACTGAACTTGTAGACAAGAGTTAAACAAACATGAAGACGAGGCTGACAAAACATGGAACATGGAACACAGGGGACGCATGGAAACAGAACCTAAAGGCCAGATGTCAAAACCAAGAGCAGAAACTACAAATATAACACAAAGCAGAAAAACAACTCAAAAAACCAGAACCTGGAATATGCAATATTAAATAAACCAAAAACACTGGGTCACAGACTCAGTGCCATGACAGAAATACTACACCGTCATTCAGCAGAAAAAATCTATAATACATCAGCTTCAGGTGTAATTCTTAGACTGGTGAAAGAGTCTGAAGAGCATCAGGTAAACACACACAAAAAACCCCGCACACACACATACAACTGCTGCCCCACCAGCCGAGTCTAGAAGGGTGTGTTGGTTAGAGATAAGATTTCCTCTGATGTCCTGATTTCTCTTATTCCTAAGCCAAATTGCCTCCTGCTCATCACCTCGCAACATCCTGACTTCCTTGCCTGCACACACAGTCTTGTGTGATCAGCAAGGGCACTTTTTGAAAAAATTATTTTTATTTTATTTATTTTTTGTCAAGACCCACACAGAAGATTTTAGTGCAACCTAAGCAACCATGCACCAAGGGAATAAAACAATACCTACAGTAATTGCTCTGGGGCTCATTTAATTACATCCAGTCCTTTTTGTTGAAAAACCATAAATAAAAGAACAAGCTCATCATCTTGGGTTTACTAACTCTGCTTAATTATTCACACGGCATTAATTAGGCAATCGGCTGGCAATGTATTTATCCCACCAGAGCCCCATGAAATATGAATAGACAGCGCTTGTCTGTATGTTGTGCCTACATGTCTACACTAGCTCGGTTTCAGGCTGTATTTTGGTGGTAGCTGATTAAAAAGCAGTTTAAGATTATGAGAACTGCCATGACAGAGGATAAAAGGGCAAACTGATATTTTATTTAAAGTGTGTCAAATTATGATTGTACACAGTGCTTGAAACTGTGTTTAGAGGTTGTTACTATATTAAGTTTCAGTCTTTCTGTTGTTACAGTATAATGTTGTGACACAGTTTTCACTATAAATTGCAACAGCTTCTCTCCATATAGAAATGAAGCAGCTGGAAATGTGTACTCATGAACTGTATCCTTGCATCACCATTAGCATTTTAGTAATAACGTTACCCCCTGTTATAGCAATCATGAGATAAGCATCTATGCGTTTCAGTTTTACAAAACAGATCTACTGTCATTGTGGATGTTAACACTAGTGGTTGAACTAGGTGTTTTTATAAAAGGGACTGAAGTGAGACCATTAGTGATGTGCAGCCGGCAAACAAGCTAGTGTTTGATTTGTTTTTTGTTTTGTTTTTTTGCTTGGCTGGTAGACCAAGTAGTCAGTTCTTTTGATTACTAACTCTTATCATTTGCTTATGCAGGCCATGTAGAAGAACACGGCCTGCATAATGGTAAATTTAGCATTGTTGAAGATTGCAGAATGTTACTTAAGCTTTTAAGATAATGACTATTTAAATATGTGGATGCATTCATTAAAATGACAGACACTTAATAGACCATTGGCTATGAGGGTTGGCCAAACTCATATATTGAGACTTTAAAGTGGATTCCCGCTATGAGGGGTTATGACTGTCCTGCTATCAGGCCATAATGATAATAATAATAATGACAGAAAAGTGCATTTATGCAGACTTTGTCTAATAAGGGAATTACTCACAGTTTATAGATCTGTGATTGGGCTGCAGGGTACGATTTGAACCTTTTAAAAAACAAAGCAAAATAAAAACAGTAAATAGACAGATGGACTGACCAACCTAGAAGTGATAAGAAAAATAATGAGGTTTGCATGAAATCAGTGGAATGTGGCTTGTGGATTTTTACAAAACAAGTTTATTTTATTTTATTTTTAATAAAGTCTTTTGTTGATCTTTTTACAAAATGGGTGACTTTATTACTGAATAATTACCTCAGAAAGCATTTTCTTTATGTTCCTTTATTTTTATGTAAAAACATAAGTAAATAATTACACACACAATAATAAAAAATACAATTCTGTGTCATCAGGTTACATTACATCATTTTCATATCATTTTGCACCCCTGTGAAATCACACATAGACATGATAACATGTGAAGGAAAATTCACAAAGACAAGACAAGACCTTTATTAGCAGAGCAGGAATTCAAAACAACACACACTGACCAAAGTGCTAAGAAGCAGCTGGCTTCTTTTGATACTCTACCTGCCTCATGTGAGTATCTGGAATGACCCAAGTCTGAAGGCTAACGAAGCCAAATGAAAATCTAAATATATACATAAACCAACACCAAACCAAACTACAATAGAAAGAATGAATTTTCGCATATATACAGATCTCTGTGAATAATTAAATAACACATTTAATCAGTTGGATATTAGAAATGTTTTGTTTAAACTCCTCTAACCTGTTACTTTGGTTTGCCCCAGGGGCTCTTAAGCAAGTGATTGAACTTCTTTTACTCTTTTGCTCCACATCCTGCTGAAAACCAGGAAAAGGTGAGCACTGCTAACATCTATATTAGCACAGTTTTTTTAATAAACTATGAAATGCTAACTGAAGTTTAACAAGCCAAATAATTGTCGTGAGCAGTCCTGATTAAGGTTTTCTTTTCAACGCAGGAGGGCCAGCCACACTCTGTTTGTCCACCTTCCATAATCTGTCAGTGCAATAATGCTCAAAAGAATCAACTGAACTCAATAAAGAATTTCTCAAAAAATAAATGTGTCTGTGATTAGACTTTCTGTATCGATTGTCCATAAACTAGTAAAAAATAAAGGTAAATATAATGGAACCCCTGGTCTCATTAGATTTTGATTTCTGTAAATACTATCATGGCTGCCACAGTGAGACTTGGGTCACTTTATTCAGTTAAAAACCGTTTAAGCAAACCTATTTGAAAGCAGTCCCAGTCTGTGGTGGCCATACCTCTGACTACTGCTGAGCAGCAAGGTTAGATAAATGTCTCAGGACAAATGGGTTTGCATTTAGACCACCGTATTTTAAAGATACTCAATAGGGTGAGAATTCAAAGCTATTTTAACTTGGTGAGTCTCCAATAAGTGATTACTTGTACGATTCAAATTGGCACAAAAGCTTTGTCACATGTTCCCAGGACAATTTCTTTTTTGTCCAGGCAACAATTCAAAAATCTAAATATTCACTTACAATCTGCAAACTAAAGAGGCTGGATCCAGGAAACAAAGATTCATGATTTGACAGAGGATAATTCCTCAAATATGTGGGCTGTTCATACCTAGAGCCCATTGTAACTTCAGGGTCTTGTTTTGTACAGATCCATTCATTATGTAAAACAATTAGGCACAGGCTCAGCCCGGACAACTAGGGAAAAAAATTTGATTTTTTTTTTTTTTAGATGAAAATTTGTTTCAAAAATAGTTGCTGATTATTCTTTGACAAATTTAAGCTTTATGTACCTTTAATCATTAAAGAAAAAAGTTAGACGTGACTTCTTGAATACTCAACTTAAATAATATACTTCCTAACATTTGCGAACATTCTTCATTCATACTACTCGCTTCCGGGTGGGAACTCCATTGAAAAAGTCCAGAGGAAACTGCGGGTTTAGAGAAATCTTTACGGCGCCACCGGTCCGCCATATTGGCTCAATGCCTATTAACCTGACAGGGGAACCGTGAGGAAAGGCTTGGCGCCAAGATGGAGGATAAGGGAGCAGTTTCATAACTCCCGTGTAGGAGGAGCTTGGTTTTCTGGAAGCTCTGTAGAGCTGAGCGTCCGGGCCAAACGGGCGATAGTGGGAAGAAATAAAAGGTAAACCAGAGGCTGCAAAGTCTTGTCAAGCCGAGGTAAAAGACGAGGAGTGCGACGCGCGTGGTTTTGTACGCCAAGGACTTGAACCAGGTCGTCCGTTACACTACAAGAGGACTCTGTGTATATGCGCGCGCACACCCCCGAAAACACTGAAGAGTAAACCCGCAGCTGTTTGGGATGTGAAGATAACCGTAACCCACCTGGTTCAGCGCTGTAACCCGAACCTGATGCACAACACTGCCTTACCGGCTCGTTTCGCCCTCTGTCAGCACAACACTGAAAACGGTGACCATGTCTGCGTCGTTACGGGGATTGTCACGCTGGTGAAGTAGTTTACTATGTTGTTTGACAACCCTGTGAGGTTTGCTTTTTGAAACGGGGGGGCACGATACCGGGAAAGGCGGGGCAGAGCCCTGGAATACGCAGCTCTTCCCTGTGCCGGTTCACTCGCAGCGGGGGATTTTTATTTTTTGGGGGGAAGCGGGTACAGGGGGGTCGACGAAGGAGGCAACAACTGGGATTTGGAAACCTTTCTTTGCAACTCTTTCCCGACTTACCCTGCTGCTGGCGACACGAGCGGCGTTTTGTCAGTTATTCCTGACACTGTCGTCTGCCCGTAGCACTCCTTTTAGGAACATAAATTGAGGTTTGGGACGCATTTCTTTTTCTTTTGGTGGGGGGGTGGGGGGTGGATAATTTTTCCCCAACCGGGGTCGGACTATGGCGGACGACGACATTCTCTTTGAAGATGTGTACGAGCTCTGCGAGGTCATCGGCAAGTAAGTGTTGCTCTGCTGCTTTTTTTGTTGTTGTCATTTTGCAGTTTTTCTCGTTGGCTTTCCGATTGCCCCCCTCTGATGTTCCTGAAGATCTGGCACACGCGCTCCTGCACGCGCAGCCTGAAGCGTCCCCGTGCGCGCCCACAACAAGCGTGGCAATATTTGTGTAGGAACTAATGGCGAGTCCTTGGTCATCAGAAGTGAACGTAAACAGACCCTAATCCTACTTTTGCGCCCTATGTAGCACTATATCGTTCTACAGAGGCGCAAGCCTCCCCCGAAACAACTTATCACGGGAGATGTAATTGTCTCTTTATGATGCCACGAGCTCATAACACCAAGTTTTATCGCCCTTATTCCCAGATGAAGCTAAAGAGCCGTTGTGCCTGCGTGGGTTGTGTGTTACAGTTGCCCATACACGCACTACTTGGCTACGCGGCTGTGCTTTGACTTGGTGGCACTTGTCAACTTGCTGCAGAGATTAAAGGGCAGGGCACACACCATCCATGAGTCATGCTGTCCGCACATCTGGCGAGCGTTAGTGACCGAAGGTCTAATCCAGACTACTTGGGAGTAACATTCCCTGCACGGGTAAGATGATAGCAGTGCATGCATTTTGGGAATGTTTTTGCACAGAGAAGCTGTATTTCTAATTACCCTTCTGAGGAATGGGATCCAATATTTAAGAGCCGTTATGCTCACACTATATTAATAAAAACTGCGAGGCTTTTGTTGCATCTTCTGGGACTGTTACAGTCGCAGTATAAATGAGCAGTAAGACCACTTTAAACTCTCAAGATAATATCTTCGTTGTTAAATGTGGCTGGAATTTCACAAAGTTTGGTGTAATTACTTTTGTGTAATCCTGTTTGGCTGTAACAAAGCTGGGTATATCATTAACCGTTATCCCTGTAATTATAATCTGTTGCAAACTAAGCAGAATGTATTGATGGTATCAGTGTGTGAAGGCAGGTGTGGCTGTGAATGTTTCCATGCTGCTGTTGAAATTACTAATAACCAGCTCTACCCACCAAATAGATGGTCCGGTTCTTTCTTTTCCTCCTCCAATCTAACAATCTGGATTCTGTAGTCCTTAACCTTCATGGTCTTTCAGTTTCGCTTGTCTTAATGGCTGCAGCACTTAAAAGCATGCCTGGGGCTTCCCAACTTGTCATTGCAGCGCTTCATAAAGGAACTGAGGATGGTAAGAGAAGAGAAGCGGCTGCTTTGTTTTGTTGAGTAGTGGGAATCTGAGGGGAAAAACTGTTTCTGCTCTGAATAACTGAGTGTGTCATCCAAACGTCTGGTGCTGAATGAAGCACTTCATTGGGCGCACAAACAGAAGCTCCGTGTGAATCAGTTGCTTGGCAGGCCCAGGCAGACGTAGTCAGTCAGTCATGGCAGGGCTGACTGGTTATGGGACTTCTGCTGTGTCACAGAGATGGTTGGCTGTGTGACGGGGTGATAAGACCTGCAGCGCATGCACTACATGTTTAGGCAAGCCTGAAAACACAGAGTGTGTTCTCTTTATCCCCATACAGTCACAAGCAATTTCTCCCTCCCTCCCCCCCGAAAAAAAATCCTCCTGTTCTCATGTAAAAAATACAATCATTAAAAATCTTGAGCCAGGATCTGAGACAAGCGGCTTTGAGTCAGCCGCACATAGACACACTCGCCCCCAGTTTTGCAAAGCGCAGCCCTTCCTTAGTGTTTCGGACAGTCTGTGATTTACAGTTTGCATGAGGAGAGAGAGCGGCCCTTTTATCAGCCGACCTGCTGTTCTCCGTGTGGAGGGCTGCTGCAGCCACAGCTTCTTTTTAAGTCTCCACTGAAGCACCAATTGCGGCTTGTCATCCTGAAAGAGACGGGCTTGACCGGAGGAAAACCCAACCAGATGACGACACCGCAGTCAGCAAAGGCATGACTTTTAAAAAGCCTGACACCCTGGATGCTCGTGTGTGTGTGTGTGTGTGTTTTCGGTAGGGTTAGACCCACATACAATTCAGAATAGCCTAAAAATAGGCTATTCTGAATTGTGCTCAGATAACACTGTGTGTGTCCCAGATCGTGTGCTTTGTTAGGTTTAGGGATGGTCTGGAAAACGTGCATTGTTTGAAGAAAATTTTGTACCACGATTGTATTTCATTTTTTTTTTTTTTCTTAAGCATGCTGACCTCGGACAAAAGCCTGTCACCCACGCGTGCGTGAGTGCATTGTGTGTACATCTGTCTTGTTGCTGTCACATTGATCCCGCCTTCTGTGCTACTGCATTCTGAGGCATAAAAACAAAAGGATGGGGCAAAGGAGGGAGTAAATAGAGTTGTTTGGGGCTGGAAGACGAGAAGGAGCAGAGGAAATTTGGGTTGGAAGATGAGAAAAGAGAGGCTGCGTTGGGGATGGGATGAGTGAGGGAGCAGGCGAGGGCAGGGGCACAGTAGACGGAGGCAGTCCATTAGTTTGAGTCACACATTAAGAGACATCCTGTGCCTTCGGGCCGTGCTCTTTCCGAGTTCATCCTTGGAAGAAGTTGTCCGTGTGTGCCTGTGTTTCTCATGGCAGGGGGCATAACACAGCAGTGTGCATAAAACAATGGACTCCAAAGAAGAGGCTGTTTACCATTGTTTTGTTTTTTTAAATCCTTGCAGCTCTAAACTGTACTGCAGTTAATGCTTGATGACAACAGAAACATGCTAATTTCAATGCATCCAGCCTATGATGTCATGCTGTAGCTGCACGGTGTGGTCTGCGCTGTATTAACAGCACCGATGCCACAGTCACAGGCCATTGAGAGTTTATGCAGCGAACCATAGGGTGTGTGTGCTCTGACATCTCCTCTGTTAATGAAGCCCGAAACAGGAGCTAATATTACCCAGCTGAATTGATCAATGGGCTTCCTGTCCTGAATATTTGGCCTTGCTGTGGATTCAACAGTGGATATTGTTCTAGAACATACATCACCGTGGAGCCGATCCGCTCCACTGTGAATAAAACAAATTACCCTCCATTTGCATACCTCATAGCCTAGGAGGACACTCGGGGGTGCTGTACAAAGCCTGAATGTCATTATAACTCTCAGCCCAAGGAGGTGTGTGTTAAAGTTTGTGTGTGTTTGGTGCCTGTTGTCAATTCTTGCAGTCGTGTGGTCTTATGTGTCCTTTTTCTAAAAAGAGGTGACAGGGAGTTTTAGCCCGAAGGCCTGGCTCCATCTCCTGTGCATGTGTGCCATTCACCTCATGGAGTGAAGTGCCACTGCTCTGTAACCCACAGGGAATGAAATACCTGCTAGTTCACTGTTTTACTGAAGACCTTTTCTGCTTCATGTGGAAGGAATTATGGTAATAACAAGGAGGTCTGGTAAGTCTCCCTTGTCCTTGCACTTTCCTCCAACTAACCAGATTACTTAATTACATATTTTAGAGGCTGTGTTTTGTGGATTTTCCCCCCCACATTACCCGTGTTAATTAAGCATCTGCAATGCTGACCTAGATCAGGACAGACCCATTCCCTACAGGAGTTGAGTTGTTCGCGGCCTTGTGGTTGGTTTTATTAAGTGGTTACAATTGTGGCTAGCTTCTGCTAGCTAATGTTGAGAATGACCGGTGGGCAGTATTAGTGTGGATCAATGAATTGGCCAGAAGGGTATGACAAAGAAACAAACACAGTCATGGCACTGCAAGGCCCATGGGCTATGAGTCAGTAGGTCAAACGCTGCTTTGTTTACATTGTCAGAAAAATTGCATTTCAAAAGGCATCCTTCTAATAATGGGAATTAATGGCACTTGGGTTCACAGTTCAAAGATTATTCCCCCAAAGTTAAAAAAAAAAAAAAAAAAAAAATTGCTTGTATTACTGTTGACATGCTTCTCAACACAACAGCTATTTGCTATGTGTCACTTCATTGAGTTTAAGTTATTGAGTGAGACATTAAGACCTGTGTTTGAAGCATATTAATAGAATAATTTGACAAAAACTGAGCTGCTGTGCAGTGCAGGCAATCCAAGGAGTTTACGGCCAAGCTTTCGCAGATGAAATTCTAGCGTGTAATTCTTTTAGTTGGCTTTAATTAGAAGGATTCAAGTTGCATAGTCCAGAGAGAAATGGGTGATGCCACAGTTGCTTTTCCCCCCCACAGGGTGTTTGCTGTGACTGTTCTTTAGCACCTTTTCCATAAATCCATTTTAATTGGGAGACAACAAAAGGTAGCGAATAACATCAAATTACCAAAAAAGGTCATTTTGACAATTTTTAAATAATGTGTCAACAGTAATGGTTGTGACTGAATTGGGACCATGGCCTTGTGGGAATACATTCATAGTGTTGTCTCCAGGGCCCATGCCTGCTGCACTGTTTGTGTGTATATGCAGGCAGCTTGTATTATGTGATCTTTGCCTCTCTGTCGGGTTTTGGAGGGAAATATCTGCTGAAAGTCTGGTTCCCGCATGCACAATTAAACATAGATGATTTAACAGAGATCTTGCTCTGAACCACTAAAACATTTATCTGTCTTCATCAAGCTGGGGAAAACACCCTTAGCAGATCCTAGCAGCTCTACATGTGCAGCCCTATGTAAATAAAACTACATTTGCTATCTTGTTGAAACTAGGGCTGCCACAAACGATTATTTTGATAGTCGACTAGTCACAAACGATTATTTTGATAGTCGACTAGTCACCGATTATTTTTGCGATTAGTCGACTAATCAGATCATCATCCATTGGACGTACAGCGTACAGCTTATTGCACCAGCAGCATCTGGTCTTATATAACTATCATTAGCTTACAGCTTGAAGTGTTTGTGCTAACTAAAAATAAAGACATGACGGTAGTTTATTAATTTTTAATGAAATTTGCAGATTGTTTCGGTGAAGTTTAATAAACTCCTTGCTTTCTAAAATATAACAGGACACCGGAGTATATTCTCCAGCGTCTCACACTTCTGATAATCAGCTGTCTGCATGACAGTTTTAGCTGTGCAAAAACTATAACTTTAATCTCAGCCA